CTGCGGTCGGTTTTGTGGAACTGGACAGACAGGGTGCCATTTGTAAAGCACTATACTCCCAAACTTGCCCATCAACTTTCGTGATAGGCAGTTGTTGAGAGTTCAGTTCCCCTGCAGTTCAACTGCACGTCGCTTCCACATGAGCCGACAGACTTCTGGGAGGTCCAAATGGAAGACAAGATATCTCCTGGACCGTTGTTATGAAGAGCCGGCAATCTGGTTGGCCTCTTGTCGAAGACAAATATACATGAAATGTCCATGTTCTAATGAGCTGGTAATCCTACTGGTAGCCTTTTGTTGCGAGCCATGAATGTGCATAGAGAGCCGGGGCACCCAAAGATCTGGCGCTCCCTTTCTTTTGGAGCTACTCATGTGCCAACAGGGAAGTTCTCTCTGTGAGATGAGAGGTCTTTGTGGTCCCATCTTACAGCCATCATGATCATAGCTTGTCCACATGGGCCGTTGTTTGTCGGGGGTTGCTTGCAAGAAGCTCTATCAATTGACAACCAGCCTTTGAGTCTACGGTAGAGAGGACGCCCAAATATTGAAACCAGGGGGGCTGTCCAATTTCTCCATGAGTTTTCTTGGTCGAAGCAAGTAATTGCGTTTCTCATCCAGGCAAATTATTGCGCAGACGAGCTCGATGAAGGTCCCTTTCAAGATCCCTCAGCCCAAGCTCATGGGCAAAACCCACTCGGCTGGATCAATGCAGCGATATACAAAGACTTGGCTCCCATCCGGTCCCTGAGCTGTTTTCGCCTTGTGATTAGTTTCACGGTGGTGTCCATTTCAGCCGCTCAAAATTCGTCGCTTTGGGCGGATCAGGTGGCCTCAAGGCCCAAGCCGGCGACCCGGCGAGGGCCTGAGATGGCCGTGGTGGTCCAAACCGTTTTGAATCGGATCCCATTTCGGTTGGGATTGGTGAATTCACCGCCCATTTTATTCTTCCGATTTTAGTGGTTGGATTGGTTGATGTTCACTGGATGTACGGGATTTTGACCCATGGCCAGATGGATGTGGGTCAAAATGAGTCCACCAGGAATTGGACCGCAGGTTTTGGTCCGCAGGTTTCCATTTAGGGCAAGCCATTTTGGGCTGTTTTCGAGAGCCAGATAAAAGTCGAGCATGGATGTTGCCCGGCAAAAAGGAGCGATGAACAATTCGGGCGTGGGAGGTGTGAGTGTTGTGAGTGTTGGCAGAGGTGTGCATGCGTGTTTGGAAGAGAATAATGCAATTGTGCGTGTGTGTGTGTGTGTGTGTGTGTGCACGTTTGTGTTTGAGATGGCACGGCTTTGAGTCTAGGCAGCGATCAATTCCCCCTGCTATGAGTGTGTGCTGGTTTTCGCACGAAGGCTGCAACAACAGTGCCGATTGCCAGATCTTTGTTTGAGTGTCCCTGGATGCCAGCCTGTTGGGTAGTTGCCACTTCAATGTTGCTGCTGTTCAAAGAGGGACATGCACGCAACGCATGAAATCTGTACATCATGCCTTCGGGCTGACTCGTTGCTCATTGCTTGCTCCCACCCAGGTCTATGTGGAAACCGTTTTCATGGCGAAGCCTGACGACAGGCCGGGCCCACTTTGCCAAAGATTCATCACAGGGCTCCTTTCAACTTCGCCTTTGACGCTGCCAGAAGGCTCGAATTGACACGTTCCAGAAGCTAAGCCTATCACAATTGATACAAGCGTCGTTTGCCAATCTTACGGACGATGGTTGTGTCCGACGAGGCTATCTAACGCGATCCGGTGAACAAAGACAGCGGTGCTTTTTACCTCAGGACTCAACGATAGAACACGGTTGAACCGAGCCCCATTCTGGGCCCGCCTGGTTGGGAGGCTCCACTGCGATCAGGTGTGTAAGAACTCCACGTTTGCTCACAATGTTTGCACAATGATTGCATAGTTGCAAGCGGGTTGAGAAAGAATTGCGAAAGCTTGCAGGCAGTGTGTAAGCGTTGACCTGGCCATATTCAGGTTTGCAATATTTAGTTTATTGACGTTACCCACCGGGACAAGAACCAATATTGAGCCTACGTGGTATGATGTTTTATAGCAGGCGTTGAACAAAATGACCCAGCATGCAATGCCCCTTTTGAGTTTGCAATCGAGCAGAATGCAAAGGTTGATTTTGACTGCTTCTCCAATTGGGGAGATGCGTCGCAACTAGGTACCCTTCTGGGGATGATTTCGAGGGAGCTCAAAGCGTAGCCAATTGCAGGGGCGGTTGATTCGTTGGAACCCAGTTTCAGGCTATCTATGGCATGTAGCCACCAAGCGGCAACATGCTGCAACATGTTCGCCCCTGCAATCTGTTTCTATTCTTTCTGCCGGGAAACTGGACAAACACTTGTGGGATGTGAAGAACCTATCCGTAAAAGGAATGTCACGCGCCTCCGCTGCTGCAGCTCATGTCTCCGCTGACTTGACGTCCGGCAGCCGTTGGGCATAGCTCAGGCCGCTGCAGCGAGTTCTTCTGGATGAGCTGGGAGACCTAGCACGTGAAAACCCAAGGGGCCTTGGATTCCTATGAGTGACAACCCAGGCTGCAAGTGATGTTGCCATGGTTCAAAATCCATGGTATCCGATTTTGGGATAGGTGAATTCACCACGAATTTTCGAACCTAATTTAGTGGTTGGATTGGGATGTTCACTGGGGGCTAACCGGGGTTTGGACCCATGGCCATGTGGTTGTGCCCAGGGCGCAAAGAGCTGTCCGAATACTAAGGACAACCACAATAGTCACCCGTGTTTGAAAGGTATCTACGGTTGACAGTGAAGAAACTGGCAATCATTCAGTGTAAGTTCTTTTGAAATCACAGTGCAACGGATTGAGTCGTGAGATGTTTCGCTTCGGCATATCCGCACTCGCATTTGTTGCTTGGAGTTGGCTTGTTGAGCTTAGGCTTGCTGGTGCGATCATTTCGCTATGGGTCAAAATTAAACCACCAGTGGACCACAGGTTTTATTCCTTGGTTCCAATAACCAGGGTTCCATTTATCGTACCTGTCTTTGACCCACAGCCATTTGATATTCGACCTTTCCTTTTCCTGAGCAAGCGTCGCGTGCATGTTTTGGGCACTGGAACCACTTGCCGTCCTCAAGTGTCCAAGTGGATGAATTTCTCCAAATGTTGCAAAACATCCAGCTCTGACGCTCCAACCCCGTCCCTGTGTTCGAATTGCTTTGAAAACAGCTCCCTGGAAATCAGTCGAATGGGGCTGACGTGATCACTCCCGGGCCTCAGGAGCTCACAGATGACGACTGCGGCGGCCGTGGGCTTGGTTTGATCGACCGGACATGGAGATGGAGAACTGACTTTGAATGGTTGGAACCCCCTTAAAAGTGGTTGGTGGACAGAAATCCCCACAGAAATGATGTCCACCAAAGGGTCCCGAATTAAAACTCATACCAATATAGACGTCAAAATGAAAACGCACTAGGATTTGGACCACAGGTTTAGTCCTTAGGTCCTTGTCTCCATTTAAGGGCAAGCCATTTCGTGTACCTCAACCACATCCAGAAAGGTAAACCCGGGTAGATGAAGGTTAGTAACAGTCCCAATCACAAATGAGAGTTGCCGCCTGCGTAGTTCTTGACGAGGTTCTGGGTAGACAATGTTAATACCAGGTTTGATTGTGACTCACATCATGGCGGATCTCACCTCCAGTGTGCGGTGCTCGGTTTCGTCAGAAGAACGTGCATTCGAAATAGGAGCAGCGGAAGCAGAAGCAGAAGCAGAAGCAACAGCAGCAACTGCATCTCAGTGAAGCAACAGCCCCTACGCAGTGTGCAAGGACCAGTTTCTGTTGGCTTTGCGTTCATTGCGTGCGTGTGTGTATGTAGGTGTGTGTTGGCGATTGTGCCAGCGTGCTTTGATCCCAGACAACAGCAATCACGTGTGCTACACATACATGCGCTCCACCGAAGACATGCGGCGACTTGCAACACCACAGCAATGAGCATAACCGCTGCAAGTACAACCACTGCAGTCCAAACCGACGGCAACTGCAGCCAGAGCCACTGAAAGCACGGCAACTAGCAGCACCACAGCAAAATATCTTACAGAAACAACAGCAGCCAGAGCCAGTACAATGATAACCACACCAACTGCAGCAAACACAAAGACCACAGTGACCACTGCAAGCACCGCAACTACACACCAGCCCCAGCCCGCTGCAACCACAGCCATCAGAAAACAATCACAACAACTACTGGGCATGAATTTCAATCGTATCCGATTGTTGCTTGGTTTTGAAAGGGACCCATTTGTTCAATATCAAAAATGGATTAGGATTGGCCAACTCTTCATGTTGCCCAGAACAGCATGGCAACCACAGCCACGGTATCCTCAGCGGCACTGCCGGCAGTGCACCTGGCAAAGGCCCTAGTGGCGCTTATCCACGGCTGCGAGCAGCCGCTTGGCAGAGAAACGTGCAAAGCCTTAGGTTTGGCTGAGCGATGGAATTGGCTCTTCGGGTGGGATGACTCATGGATTTTTCTTTGGTCTTCGGCTGATCCGGGTGAGAACTAGTCTTTAAGTATTTAGAGTTTGTTCGCAGCTAAGAAATTGTGATCCGGGTGACCTGATTCAAGGTTCGTTTGGTTTGGATATGTTACGACCATCCTAACTTCCTAAGTTGCGGCTTCCGTCCAGATTGACTCAGAGTCTCGTAACCTCAGCCGCATGTTTGTAGATTTGACATGTTGAGCAAGCTTTGCTGCCATGGTTCAAGCTGCCAAGCTGTCCCCAATGAAGCATAGGATGCAATCAGACACACAGCAAAATGGCTTTATGTGTGATTGATTGTTTGTTTGTTTGTTTTTCCTGTAGCCTTGTACTGAACTCTGATTGTGAAGCACTGCAGCAAGACGCGACTGAGACAGCCTGCATGGTTTGGCCGATGAGTTTGCAGCGAAATGCCTGGATGTGTGGAAACTGTGCTGGTACCGTGTGTTGCATGCCTCACAATGTGTGGTAATGCTCATTTCCAAGCAGCTAGTAAGATCTGTCTTTTGTGGCTTCGCAATGGCCACGAACTGGGGCTTAAGCAGGCGGACACAGGTGGTTTGGCCCAACCCTCACAAAAACATGCGAGGTATGGGTGTGTGTGTGTGTGTGGATTCCTTCAGAAATGCCTTTTGGCGCAGGGAGAGGCATGGTTCTCTGGGTTGATTCAGCCATGTTGCCCAAAATCAAAAGAGAACAGATCAACGCCCCTATGGCTCTATGGCCCTATGGGCCTATGGCTTTATGGCCCTGTTGGTGATTGTTCCTTTGGTTTCCCTTCAAAGCAAGCCCAATGGTGCGCTCAAGACCGAAAACCAGATCCTGCCAGGCTGGTGCTGGTGGGCGACCCGAAGCAACTGCGGCGCGCCTGCTCAGCCTTCTGGTCTTATGAGTACCATCTCAAAATGCTTGGACACGAAACCGCAACGAGGTCCAGTCAGCGACTCACTTGTTTGGCAAGACCAAAATGGAAACCGACCTGAGACTCGGCGACTCGAGACTCGAGAGGTTCCTGGTGCCCTCTGAAAAAAATAAAGAATTTCAGAAGCGGCGTGTTCAGTTCCTTTTCAGTGGGCGTCAAGAATTTCGAGATTCGCGCTGCAAGTCTCGGATAGATCGGATGCGAAGGGTGATGCCAGAAGTCTGGGCTGCCATTGAGGGATGGCATTTGTCAGTTCCAGTGGGACCAGACTGCGCTATGATTTGCCTACCCCGAAGGAGACTGAAACGCAACCATGAATTTTAATTAAGTGTACCTTGGGGGAAGCCTGGTGCAGATTGCGGCATCAGCACGTACGAGATGCAAGCAGATTCACATTGGATGATTGCCATCATGTCTACTTGGACAGATCCATCAAGTGTGTTCCCTTGGAATGATTCCCCTCTGGCCGTTTTGCCACCTCATAGTCAACTCAAAAGGCTTTAGACTCCTGGAGCCTTGCTCTGGACGTTCGACGGAAGTGTACTGTTGAATGCCTTTTACCAACGGGGTGTTGCAAAAAGCATTTCTTCCGGGCCAACCCTCCAACCCTCCAACCCTACCCCCCTGTCCATCCTTGATGTGAAATACCCAAGTTCTGGTAATGTTGACCCCATATCAATCAACCCCAGTATATGAATGGCGGGGGTTCCCCTTCAAAAGTGATGATGCCCCACTAAACCCAGGGACACCCATCACTAAACTGGGGTTGATTAATATGGGGTCAACATTACCCTGCGCAGCCGGAATTGAGAGAAGTTGCCGCCACAGGGCTGACCTTTGCATCCGAGGCCCATCTCAAGCTTCAACAGCCACAAGTTCTCGCCACAACCTCAGATGGGGCAGGCAGTCCAACTAAAATCTGCGGGTTGATCAAAAGGTCCGTGAGACATGAAATGACCATCAGCGAAACCACCAAAAAGATTCGACCTTCCCCACTAAGCGGAAAAAGTCGCCCGTGGTCATTTTGATCAACCCGCAGAGAAGTAGCGTTCTTTGCTATCTTCGTGTCTCCTACACTGGGTGGACGCTTCCCTCGGGAAACTCATCGACCGCATGGCTAGGTGCCTGTAAGCCGTTTGGTCACCTCATGTGAACCAGAACGGAAAACCTGCAAACTTTACTCTCAGTCTTCTGTTTGGGGAAAACATGGAAGGCAAGCAAACTAGAATTATGTTTGGGGAGTAGCATTCAAGCAATGCTCACATTACTCATATTGACGTTAGCTTCCGGGTGTCAGAGCTTTTTGCCCTAGGGTGTCCCGAAAAGTTGCTGCGATGAGATTGGCTGGCATGCGAGCGCGTTCTTCGACTTAGTTTGCAGTTGATATACGTAGAATAAGGGACAGTGAAGTCTCAGTCAGGCCAGTAGTGGAAAGTGTTTGCTGGGCTTTTGCATGAGCATTCTGTCATGCATGGCCACAGTCCGTGGCTGATTCTAGTCAACGGCGCTTGGCAAGTCATGTGGTTTCTTGGCTCTAAACATTGCGCAGAAATAATACCAACTCAACGGGGCGTTGCTGCGTGGTCTTACAACGTCTCGTGGACCATCAGGCCCTTAGAGTTCAGTTGCCGCGGAAAAGGATGTTCATCAAGTGAACTATGATGAGCCACAACTCAAGAAGGTTTCATCATTCCATTGATGTTGAGGATCAAGATGAAATGAATGTAGCACGCGCGCTGCATTCCAAAGAATCGGAGCAACTCCACGTTTGGTTCTAGCCAGCTGGTGCTGAGACATTGAACTACGGCTCGAGTGGATCGATCTTTGCATTTCTCACATTGCTTACCTTAAACGCCATGTGAGTATGTATAGACATCTTGAGAGCAGCGAGCAATGCGAGTGCTGCATCCAAAGAGACCAATTCGCCTGCTGTCTTCCTATGGCTCTGCTCGCCTTGACCGCTCGGGTTGCGACCGAGGCAGGAGGATTTGGATGTGCTGGCACCTTTTGCTCAAGAGCGCCAAAGCGTGTTCGAGGCAGGTGGGGGAATTTCAGAGGTCGAATGATTGGTAGCGTCCTGGAGAAGAAAACACCTAGAGGCCTTCCAAAGGCATTCTTTATGCTTTGAACTGTGGAAATCCTGAGTGCGTAGCTGGTCATTTTTATACGGAGGCCAAAAGACCGCCAGCATTGCTTGCGAACGCTTTGTGGTTGGTTCTTTGGATCTGGAAGCTTTCTTTCCGTGCTTCCCTTGTTCAGCAAATGGCGATGATTGAACAAAGGATCTTCACGATGCCAGAGATGGCAGCCTTGACTGTGCCGAGAAAGAAACGGCGCATATCGAAGATGACGCTTGCCAGGCCTTCACTAGTTGCGCTTGCGCAGTTGCGCAGTTCGCCTTAAACTAGCTCTCAAGCAAAGCAAACAGATCAGAAAGGGCAGTGGTCCGAAGCTGGAGCCTTATTTTGGGGCCGCTTCAAGTCAAGAGGACTGCAACGAAAATCGTCCAAGTTTCTCCTTTCGGGGCCTCTTTCATTTGACGTCGATGTTTAGTCAGAAGCTAATCTGTCCCAGTCCTCACTACGCTTTGCCAGTTGTTGCAGTGCGAGCTTCAAAATATTGCCTTTTGAGTTGTTGAGAGGTTTGATGATGTTGCAAGCACTACATATGTGAAATCGGGTTGTCTCCAACTGCGCAAACAGCTTTGGGATGGGGCAAGGTAAGTTCGCAGCTCTAGTTTATCACATGTGTGTCTGTTTGTTTTGGGACTAGACGGTGCGCTTCTGTGTGCGCGTGTGTTCGTCATAGTCAAGTCGAAAGGTCTGTGTACGCAAGGCTTACTCAGATGGTGACCACCCTTGGATAGTGTACTGGTGAGGGGTGGTCTATGAGGATTCCTGGAAGCAAAGCCTAAAAAGCGAAACGCGGAAAAAGACCTTTTGACCCAATCCCTGGAAATCGAACAGCCGAAAAACTAAAACTCAGAACAAAGACGTGCATTCCCAATCCAGCTGAATACAACAACCAACACAGGTGTTTTCAACTTTGGCTACAATCCACTTGTCGCAGCCATGCGAGCCAGGCCTTTCAGCGCCACAGACGCCCCTGCATGCTGCAGGCTTCCGACAGTTCACGGCGTGCAGGGAAGAAGCCGCTGAGCCCTTGTGGCTTTGAAGGAACTGAAGGGACCATCTGAACGTTTGGAACTTGTTTCACAAAGGGGGTCAAAAGCTCAAATCATGTCAAATCTGTCGCACTCAGCAGCGTTTGGAGCCATTGGAAAGGATTCCACCGAAAGCAAAAGCGGCGAAAGGAAGGTTCTGCCACGACTTTTTGTACCATCCTCAATCCTTTTGGGTTACAACAAGGCCACCATTTGTAATGGCCCCACTCAAGATGAATTGCCCAGAGTTCCATTTTGAGAAGACCTGAGACTCGAGGACTTTGGTGTTTGGGGTGGCATGTGATGGCGAGTTTCGACCGTGGGGGGGGATGGGGGGCAGGTCTCTGTGTCTCGGGGCGCCAAATGTTGTTACGGCTTGAGGCCGCCTTTTTTACCCACACTGAGGGGACCATGCGTTATTGGAAGCGGGTTCCGGAAAGGTAGTGGTACGTCCGCTGAGAACACCAACTTTTGGAAGGTGGCCCCCCTTTAACAAAGTGACATTCAGCGGCCACGATGGCCTTCATTGGTTGGCTGATTGGTGGTCTTTCAGAACATGGGGTTCGCAAGGAATGTCCTCTCAGGGCTTGTAGTGTGTGTGTGGATGATATTGTGTGCTCATGGCTTCAGTCAACCGCAACGTTTGCAAGGGATGTCGCAAGAGGATTTTTTGGGTGGTTGATCTTGCCAGGCCATGAGGTTTTGCAAGCGATGTCCTTCCCAACAGGGTTTGTAGTGCTTGGCGTTGTGCCCCAATAAGATTTAGCTTTTAACACAGACCTACTCCATTGTGATTTGATCCCAAAACTATTGTTTTGTACCCACAAAACCCTGTTTTCGGAGCAGTGCCCACAAGGTTCTGTCCAGATGGCGTTTTGGGGATCTGTACACGCCTGAGCCAGCGCCCCATTCAAAGTCGGCATCTGAATGACATGTGTGATGCAACCTCTTCCGGCGTGATGTAACATTTGTTTCCACAGCGCCCAACATGATGATGTAACTTTCCGCGGAGTGCTGCCTTGAATCGTGTCCTTTTTCTGGCGATGCCCCATACAGACGTGTTTGTTTGTACGAAATCAAGTTGATGATGTTGATTTGCGCAGTGCCACTAGCGGTTCCCACAGCTTTCCCTGTTTCCATGCGATGTTTGCTGCAGTATCGTTTGTTGTGTACGTGGTGTTGGCCCAGTTTGAGCAAATGAAGGGTTGCCCGGTTTGTTGTGTGCCCAAGGCGCTTTGACTTTTGTGATGTCACTTCCCCCTGACTGATGTGACTTAGCCCCTTCAACCAATGAACTTTTCTGGAGGATTGATGTATATACATGTATAGACATGTCACGCCCATTCCGACTCGACTCTTGGAAGACCACGCATCCCATGTTTGGTGTCAGGGTTTGCCCGATTGGTCCACACCCTCGTCCCCCGGCAGCTCAAGGAACAGGGTCTCGCCCATGGATCGACCCATGAAGGCGACTCGGGTTTGGATCCCATGGATCATTTGAGCCACAATCAAAACCGGTAGATGAAGCTTAGTAAGGGACAATCCCAACCAGAAATAGCTGCGGATATCCGCCTTAATTCTTTACATGGCTCTGGGAATTCGACCATTTTAATACCGGGTGTTGATTATGACTATGACTCATTTGGGTTCGTCACGAGAATAGGAGACCCCCCAACCCTCAAAACGCCTCGCGCCCACGGTCCCCTGGCGCGGAAAACCTTGAGCGGCGCCGGAAAATGAGTCAGGTGCAGTACCGCATGCAGCCTGAGCTTTGTGGCTGGCCCAGCCTTGCGTCTTGTTCTGAGCTACCTGTTTCGGGGGGGAGTAAGTTGGCGCTTGGGACTTGAATAGGGGAAGTGCCACTTTGATTCGTGTTACAATCCCCGTCTGTAAGAAGTTCCAATCTGTATTTAGGTGGTGCAAAAAGGGAAAACGAAAAGGGAAACCCACCCATTTTGTGTGTCCGAGTCCCTATTTTGTCTCGAGCCTTACCCAAACGCGCTTTCACACACAGCCTATTTTGACACCACCCATTTTTGGGATTCCCCCATGACACAACCATCAAGGCTGTCCCCCCTTTCACCTCTCGCGAGGATAGTCCTTGTGCTATCTTAAGACTTTATCGCAGGAGTTCCATGTTGTTCAAGGAGATGAAGAGGTTTGACCGAAAAGGAAACCTGCTCCACCGCTTCATTTGCCGACCGCAAAACCGGAAATGGCAGGTCCTGTGCGGGCCGTTGCCTGGGATGTTGGCTCAGCGGTTGCATTGGTTCCTTGGGGCGAATATCCCTGCGACTAGCCCAGTCAGCCCTATTGATCCGAACAAGGTGCAGGCCTTTTCGGACGGTGTTTGAAGGGAAAGATGAAGGAAGCCGAACTTAGGCGCCATATGTTGAAGGTACACCTAGTTGTGCTTCGCAGAAAGTACCCTTCGGCCGCCTCTCCGGGACTGAGCTTCTTAGAAGTTGCCCTTTGTTAATTTAGCAAGTGCAAGGGAAACTCCGAGCTGCTTGTCCCATATCACTCCGGAACGAAGGATCCCTCCCACGAGCAACCCGAGGCAACTGTGCAGAAGCGCTCAGGAAGTCAGCTGTGGTTATCCGGTGCAGCCAGAAGTTGAGCTGATGCCACTTTCCAACAGTCAGAGGTTCCAAGTCAAGATGAGACATGCGCGCATCGATCAGACACGAGCTCTTTTGTTCCATGGCCTTCCAAACTATGTTGATATGCAAGGAACCCTGTGGCACGTCCATTTCCAGCCAGAGCATGCTCGCCCATGCCGCAACATGTGGGCCATAGTCAAAAAGCCACCTATGCTTGGAGCTGTGGGGGGGGGGGGGCTCCCACATAACGTTATTGGGCAACCCACAAGGAACCCTGTTTGGAGAAATTAATTTGGGTGTATCTTTTTGTTAGAGTACCCGTTGTTGTGATGTCAAGGCGAACTGAGGGAAAATCAAGCATTTTGGGAGCTCACCTCGGGGAACAACTCAAACTGTTGGACGTCTACGTTGAGCTAGGCTCATAGGTGTCCTTTTTGGTTGTTTTGGTCGAAAATTAGATGGCCCTGGTTTACCTGCTATTTTAATCATCTACCAGGGCCATCTATTTTCCCTAAATGGACACCTATGGCGAGGCTCCCCATGTTGGTTGGTCCCAGTGCATTTTTTCGAGACAAACTCTTGACCATGGCTAGGCACGTACCCCTCTGAGCGGTTCTACGACGGAGAGCTGGTGACTGCACCATCATTGGCGCTCCGGCCATTCTTGGAGAGCGGTCTCTCAGGGTTCCTTGGCTGTGCCATTTTGGTTGGTAGGTGAATTCACCGCCTATTTTAGGTTACCGATTTTAGTGGTTGGATTGGTTGAGGTTCACTGGGGGTGCGATTTGGATTTTGACCCATGGCCGTATCTTCGGTTCTCTGAGACGAGCTTGACCGCATATGAAACATCCGAAGGTATGATGTTCGTACCGCAGTGAACCAGAACTTGTGGGCCAACAAGGAAATGCGAGTGTATGGGGGAGCCCTGTCTTTGGGGGCAATTCCGAAAGCTGAGATCTCTCGCCCAAGACATTCCTGTAACAGGGCTGTTTGGGGTACGAGGGGAAGAAATAAAAATGTTTGTTTGGTGGAAACAAACTATGTTTTGGAGTGGAGAGCAAGAAGACGCTGTGAAGGTTCTTCAACTTCAGCCTGTTTCGAGGCCTTGTTTCGAGGCCTTGTTTCGCGGTTCAAGGCCTTTCGAGGCCCGCCACTAGAGTGCAACACATTGGAGGCCTGCAGAGACTCGAATCTATGTGATACTGTAGATTTTGAGGAAGTGGAAAAAGGGGGCGAAAAAGAAATTTGTGCCCTCCTAGACACAAACAGGGCACCTTGTCTGTCTCCGTCTTTTCTTTCTTTTTGTTTCTTGTGGGGAGGGGGGGTGGAACATGGTCCAAACCAGCCGGGTTCCCTTTGGCTTGCTGTTGAATCAAACTGGCCGCTAGATCGCTGGAGGGATTGCAGCACTGAGCTTGTACCTCTTCGACCCCAAAATTTGGGTTCCCCGGTGGTTTTTTTCTGCTGGTTCCCGTTGCCCATCCTCAAAAAGGGGTGCCCTGCAATGGCCCAAGACTTGGGGGTTCTTGAGGTTCCCTGTAGACCACTCACTCGCTCAACTTGGCACGGGCCCTCTGTGGGTTTAGACAATCATCAAAAAGGGTGTGCCATTAAACAGGGCTCCTTAAAAGGTACATTTTGCAACCATTTGAAACATGTTTTTTTCCACCAAAATAAGGGGAAACCACCATTTACAAGGCAATGTTCAGGTGTATACTGTAAGGAGCTACCCAATGGCATGTCTGGTGGTTAGGCTTGCTTTGGTGCCAGGTTGTGGGGTCTATCATCCCAACATCCCCCCCACCTCACCTCCCCGCCCCCAGCCATAAGATCTCCACTTGGGCCAGGCCAGGCGCCCGATGGCGGTGGGTGATGGCTTTGTCTTCAAGGACCGATGCAAATTGGAAGTCGCTGGATCTCCGATCTACATCGGGCACTGAGCCATTTTTTTTTATTTTTTTTTATTTTTTTTTACGGGAGGTGTCCATCGAAACGATCGCCACTGTTGGAGGTTCCAAAAAGGGAAATGGAGGACACCCTGTTCGCAGCGACCGGAGGGGGTTTCCCAAAAGGAAACCCACCAGACTTGGGCCCCGGAAGGGAATGAGAAATGGAATGGCGAGAAGAACCATCCAACTTTTGTGGTTTCCGGTCATCCCTCATTCCCTACGAATTGTCCGGGAAAACACGGGGATGGCTCGTAAAACTCCATAGGGGGGGGCCCTGCCACCGCCCCCTGTGCCCCCTGACGAATTTGGACCTCTTTAAAGTAAAAGTAAAGTATCATGAGTCTTCGACAAAATTTATTCAGTGCGGCGGATCGTGATTAGGCCGTGCTTGTTTAACAAGTTGCTCGAGATCTGGAAGGACAATGAAGAAAGTAGTTGGAATTGAGTGTGCTCAGTTCTTTTGGGGACAGAAAGGGCGCCTTTCCCGGAGGGTGATGGAGACCGAAGACTCATTTGGGGAAAGGCGGCCAGGAACCGGACGCATTTCATGTGGACGAATGGGGAAGCAAGTTGAGTCATTTGTGCAGCCCTCGTTGCTTGGAAACCCATCAGCCCGGCGATCTTGCATGGGCTGAATTGGGGAGGGGGGGAAGGAAGCGAAGAATTCGTCATAGAGTAGATAAACAACAACAACTAGGTCCACCAGTAGTGCCCTTTTACCCCTTTTTGGGGGGAGGGTACCCTTCGAAAATGGACTACAAAAAAGGGTACCCTTATTCTAACCTCTCTACTGGAGGACCTAGACAACGATAGAATGCAAGCGATGTTCTTGCAGCAAGAATTGCTGATTTGCTTTGGTCCAGCTCAAACGCCCAGGTTCCCCGACCTTTCGGTTTCCAGGCCATCCATTGTCCCCTGCTTTGAAAGACGATTTTCCCAAAATATATTGGGTTTGGCAGAAAGTATCTGGCGCCCACGTTGTTTGATCATGTCCCCCAATGCCCTCTGGAAGTTTGGGCTGCTGTTCCTTTTGACAGCCTGTTGTCATCCCAAAAATGACCTGGATGTTTCACGGACTGCAGTCACTTGATCAAACATTCGACTGACCAGCATCGATATGTTGCTAGCAAATTTGAAACTGAGCCGACTTGATGAACCTATGATGGCAGATGGGTACTTACAATTATTGCAAGCAAATGCGATCTCTCTCTCTCTCTCTCTTTCTCTCTGGTGCTCTCCTTTTTCGCTCTCTCATTCTCTTTGTCTCCCTCTCCCTCTCTGCCTCACTCTCTCTCTCTCTCTCTCTCTCTTATTCTTACTCTTACTCTCACTCTCACTCTCACTCGCTAACTCTTGGTCTACTCTCGCATTCTCTCTCTCTCTCTCTCTCTCTTTCTCTCTCTCTCTTTCTCTCTCTCGCTCTCTCTTTCTCTCTGTCTCTCTTTCTCGCGCTTTCTCTCTCTCTCTCTGTCTTGCTCTCACTCTCACTCACAAACTCTTGGTCCACTCTCTCTCTTTCACTCACACTCCCACTCCCGCTCCCACTTCTTTCTTTCTTTGACACTCTCTCACTCTCTCTCTCTCTCTCTCTCTCTCTCTCTCTCGGTCTTGCAGGCGTGTATGGCGGCACAAAACGACCAACACTCACATTTTAGCCTTGCAATTGCAGGTCGGGAAATCATGACACAGTCATCGACTGCATCGTCTTGACCTGAAAGACCTGAAACAGTCGCATCATCATGAGGAATCCTCCCATCCTCCCCCCCGAACCCTCATCCTCATCCTCCGGCCGCGCCCGCTTCAGCCCCAGCCGCAGACGAGGAGGGCACCTCGGGGCACCCGGTGATCTTTGTGGCCTGGGCCGAAGAACCGGAGGTCCTGGGATGGCTAGGCACGGAAGGTGATGTTTTGTTGCATGTAGTTAATATATATGTATCTATACATATAAATATAAACATATAAATACATGTGTTTATATATATATATATATATGTGTATTAATACGCATATTTATGGACCAACTGAAACCAGCCCGATGCCAACCCTAAACACATGCCAAACCGACCCCGAACCAACCCGAAACGCAACCAGAAACCAACCCAATCCAACCCTAAGCTAGACCAGCCTTAGCCAAGCCGAATTCAACCCCAAGCTAGACCAGCAGCCCTAAGCCAACCCGAGCACAACCCCAAAGCAGCCTAAATCAGCCCTAGAAAGTCAACCCCAATCCAACCCAAAACCTACCTACTCCAACCCTAAACAAGCTGTGAACCAACTTTAAGCTAACCCTAAACCCACCTAGATCAACCCTAACCAACCGAAACCCTAAACCAGCCTAAATCAATCCCAGCCGGCCCTGAACCAACCCTGTTCCAACCCAAGCCAACGCCACACCCACTCCAAACCAACCACAGGATCAGGTGCACCACAAGCGGGGGCTGCTTGTTTGACCCATGACTATTGGGAGGGGGGGGGGGCAGGGGAGGAGAGCTGGCAACGCTTGAATATGTTCTGGTTGGGTAAGGAACACCAAAGGACACCCTTTTCCCAGACACCCGGAGGATCCCAAATTGGTGGAAAATGTTCTATTTGCTTGAGGTCTTGTTCTTTTTTCTTCGGTAGAGGAACTATTCACGATTGGTGTGGCTGGTGAGTGTATCTTCTTGTGGCACTCTTTGGCAACATGACCTCAGTTGTTCTCTTGGTTGGTGGCTTCCCGCAATAACTTGTCTTCCCCAAGATAAAGTGTGCATTTTCTACCATGAGCACTGATTGACTGGGCTGCAGAGAAATCCGTATCCTTGGCAAATGAAGACCTTCAGCTCAAAAAGTGTCGGGTGCCGCTGCGAAGGCCGAAGCAAGATGGTTTTCTATTGCAAGAAACCACCGTGGAAGGACACTTCATAAAGCGGGTTCCTCCATTTTCCCATGGTAAACCACGGAACTGGACTCTGGATTCGAATCCCAACAGGAAAGCAGTTCTTTGCAAACCCGGCTTGTCAGCAAGCAGGAAAAGGACGCGTCTCATGCATACCGCGCGATCGGATCGCGCGGTCTCAGGACACCTGCGATTTGGGCGGCAGCGAGGAGCAGGCCGGCGTCACCGGGTGGTCACCGGGTCACCGGGTCCGGCCGGGCTGGGGAAAAGTCCGGGCGGTGGGGAACCCATTGTCCTATGAAAATGCTTTGAGGGTGAAGGCCATCCGGTTACGGTTGCGAAATCGGGACCTATTGAAAGTCATGACTCAGTGGGTAAATGCACCTGGTAGGTGGGGTCAGGGGTTTGAATGCTGTTGCTGTTCTGGAGGCTAAGCTAGCGGTGGGATCAGGCAAATAGGAAGAGGAAAATAGCATTCAGAAGGAAGAAAGTGCCAGTAGATAGGAGAAGATGCATGCATGAAAAATCAAACGAAATTCATTCCATTCAGGGCTTGGAATTTTTAAGCCTATCTGGCTTTCCAGCGATGGAGCTTGGATGTTTATTCTTGGACCCAGCTCAGAAGCGGCTCCAAGAAACATCTCATTGGTCATGGCCGAACCTGTCAACCCAAGGGGGGTCAGAAGGGTGAAGTTTGTATTCAGAGATGGTCAGAATGTGGCCAGGAATATTGATAAGGAACCGCCTCCAAAGTGGTTGGTGGACATGGATCCCCGTGATATCCATCAAAAGGCCCGATTTCAAATTCGTGCTCATGCGCTAATGATGTTCGTGAATATCGTGCCAAGTGTCGAGGAAGCGTAGCAGACTTTGTGCCTGCACTCTGCGCTGCGGATAGTTTGCCACATCTACTTTGCATGTTGTTGTTGTTTTTTTCCGCTTGACATGGCAACGGTCTAACTTTGTTTCTCGGTGCAAATGTAATGGAAAACACACTGCAAGCCAAGAAAACGGCATCACATCAACTGCCGTCGGCTGATTTCTGCAAAATCACATCCTCGGTCTTAGGTGCGTTTGGGCGGCAGCATTTCGCTGCAAAACCGCCTTGAAGCGCGTGTGGCCGGGCGCGCCCAGCGGAGAAGCACGCTTGGATGTGCATTTTGATAAAGAAAAAACAAGTGGGTCTGTCTTTTTTGCAGTCGGTACCCCTGTGTTGCTGGCTTTACAGGAGACCCAGGTTTGGTTGCATCTGAAGTGTAAGAGGAAGCCGTGGGCCTTGGATTTGATCGGGTTAGACGACCAGAACAGTTTGATCACGCTCCTTGCGCGGCAGGGTGACTCTTTGGGGAGCTTCGAAAGGGGCCGGTTACAAGGTGACACTCGGCGTCTTCTGCTTAAGACCCCAACCTCCCGTGGCGCATTCTGAGAACATGGTAAGGAAAAAGAAGTGGGCCGGCTGCGTCTCATCAATTCTTGAACCCTCTGCGATGTCTTTGCCTCTTGTTTACTTTGCTCTTTGCCTAACACCTTCAGTTCGGCCGAGCAAGCCGCGTGGACCAGGCACTGAGGACTAAGAGACATCGACTTGTCATGGTAGTTGATTGGCTTGAGATCAATGGTCATGCTGTGTTTGTGTTTGTGTTTGTGTTTGCGTGTTTGCGCATGTGTTTTTGTTTGTGTGGGTGTTAGTGTTTGTACTAGTGGTTGTGCTTGTGCTTGAGTTTGTGCTTGTGTTCTTGTGTGCGCATGTGGTTGCGTGTTTTGTTTTGTTTTTGCGTGTGTTTGTGTGTTTGTTTGTGTGTGTGTGAGTGTGGGTCTTTGTGCGTGTGTGTGCTTTTGCGTTTTTGTGGGTCTGTGTGTGTGTGTGACTCTGTGTGACAGTGGGTCTTCGTGTGTCAGTGCTCGTGTTTTTTTTCGTGTGTGTGTGTGTGTGTGTGTGTGTGTGTGTGTGTGTGTGTGTGTGTGTGTGTGTGTGTGTGTGTGTGTGTGTGTGAGTGTGTGTGGGTGTGTGTGTGTGTGTGTGTGTGTGTGTGTGTGTGTGTGTGTGTGTGTGTGTGTGTGTGTGTGTGTGTGTGTGTGTGTGTGTGTGTGTGTGTGTGTGTGTGTGTGTGTGTGTGTGTGTGTGTGTGTGTTTGTGTGTGGGCGTGGGCGTGGGCGTGGGCGTGGGCGTGGGCGTGTGCGTGTGCGTGTGCGTGTGCGTGTGCGTGTGCGTGCGCGCGTGCGCGTGTGCGCGTGTGCGCTTGTGCGCTTGTGCGCGCGTGTGCGCGTGTGCGTGTGCGTGTGCGTGTGCGCGTGTGCGTGTGCGTGTGCGTGTGCGTGTGTGCGTGCGTGTGGTTGTGTTGGTGTTTGTGAGCATGGTTGTTTCTGTGTGTGTGTGTGCTTGTGTTTGTGTGTGTGTGTGCTTATAGTTTGTGTGCGTGTTAGTGTTAGGGTGAGTGTGGGTGCGTGCTTGTGTTCTTGTCTGTGTTTGTACCTTTGTACCCCTGCCACAGGAGAAGCCACCATTGGGGTTCCCTTTGAGCCATGGCCATTGGAGGTCTCTATGCTCCTTCAGGGCTTCCAGGACGCGAGTGATGGACTCCCACTCGGGTTTCATCCATCCAGACCAAGGTTCCAGATTGATTACAGGATCTGGCCTTCGGGGAAGCTCTATGAGGATGTTTAAAGCAACGGGTGCCTGCGCATGTTTCAACAGGTGGTTCTCCCATCAATGTTTTCCAACCTCGTCCTTTCAACAAGTAAACAATCGAGGAGCAATCGGACCGAGGTAGGCATGTGTGTCTTTTCTCCAGGAATGGCTTGAGGGCTAGGAGGCTGTCGCTTTCGGGGTACCTGGACGTCAGCCAGTTCTAAGGGCCTTGGACGGATCGCAAGCTTGTGGTGAGTTGTGCTTGGGGTGTTTGCCTTCAGAGCACACTCCACAAGAGATAGAGATACTCGTTGAAGGTCAAGGGAGCATCATGTCCTGGAAGGGCGATGGCACTGTGCGCCCGTAGCCAACGGGGCGTAGTCCAACATTAAACAAATCAGCCAAAGCAGAACCTCAGGTCGCTTGTCCTCCAGTGCGCTCACCGCTGTTGAAACTTCGACCTTTCTTTTGCTCGGCACTATTTTCCCACTCAATGAGTCATCCTGCCCAGTGGATGCAGTTACTCCTGTGCTTGGCCACTTGACCAGTGGCGCGCACGGTGTGCCGCATGTTTGATCCCAGAATGCACGTTGTTGAAAATGATTGTCTGCCCTTCGTTGATCCCCTTGCACTCGTGTCTGCCACATGTCGGATCGCAGAGGATGAATGTACCTGGGGGGGCCCAACCTCGTGGAGCCCTTGCAGACGTGTCTGCCACATGTCTAATCCCAGTGTGTCTGCCGAATGTCTAACCCAGCGGATGAATGCGCGTGGGGTTGTTCAAACTGATAGGTGGAGCCTGTGCCACATGTCTGATCCCGGAGGATGAATGCGCGGGGTTGTTGAACATGGTTGTCCACCCTTCGTTGAGCCCCTCGCAGATTGGTGTGCCAAAGAGTAAATGTGCAGCCCTCGAAAACTGGGACCAAAGCCCACGCGTCATGTGTGTGGCGTTCGGTTTCCTCAAAATGGTTGGTTCCCCTTTTTCTTTTAAGCCCAGGGATACCTGGGGGTGCGTCAAAGTGGAGCTTCCTTTGGGTTCCTGACTTTTGGTTGGTGGATTATTTGTTTTTGTTCCTCCCGATAAGAACCCGTGTTCAACAATGCACACGGGGCAGGAGGCCGGCGTGGAATCCTCGAGGCTGAGTGCGCCTTGGCAGAAGCCAAAAAAGGACCCAATTGGATGCAGCCCGGACCCTGTTGCTTTTCTTTGGGGAAGGGTTCCCTTGAAGAATTTGACCAATAAAACAAGGCGCCCTTTTTTCCCCATGACCACTGAGATGGGAGATGGAGCCACGCAACCTGTCCTGGAGTTGAAACAAGGCGAGGAGGAGAAGTGATATGTTTCGTTTTGGAGCATTTGCCAGTAGCAGCCAGGCGGCTATTTGAAACTTTGAGTTGTCTTCATAGAAGTACAACCATCGCCAAATAGACTCAGTCCAGCTGCTTCCAGGCATCGGCCAGATTGTTCATGGAAGTGGATGGCAAGCCTTCAACTCGACACCTCGAGAAAGACCGCAAGAGGAGTGTCCAACTTGTGAGAACCATGTGAATCATGTCAATGTCAATGCTTGGTTGCGTTTCTGCCGGACAACACGCTGTCAATCTCAAGTCTGATCTTGGTTGTGCAAGCATCGTTAGGGATCACCCGCTACCTCACGAACCCGGCCCAATTTTGTGTGGATGACTGGGGTGGGGAGAAGGGGCGTGACTTTCATGGCCAGGCCTTCAGAGAGAGGTGGGTGGTGGGTGGTGGGTGCTGGATCCCTTGGGGTTTTCGGTGCACCCAGGTCACTCGATGTGTGGTGGTTGGATCGAATCGGACGCTCACGGCGTTGGCTTCTGGCCCACGGGGTTCGGAGGTGATCTCCGCCTACTCGGGGCAGAACAGCCTCCTGGCCCAGGCCCCGTGAATTTTTGGGGGAGAAGTTTGAGGCGACAACGAAGAATCGCAGTCGAACCAAAATGGAAGCAAACTCATCTAAAATGGCAAAGGTCCACATCCGTCACCTGCGTTGTTAATAAGTTCTTTTGGCTTGTTTACCCAGCCTCAAAGACAATAAACACAGCAAAAGCTTGACAGCTTCGTTTCGGACAAGTCAGGCAAGGGGTATGAATTGCAGGGAAGGAGTACGACTTTTTGACCTTCATGGATATTTGGGATTCTGGTGCCCGCAATGTTGTTGTTTGTGCAGTTTGCCAAGAAGAAGCCTCATCCGACGCTTGAGAAAATGATGGACCTCTATAAAGACCCCCTCCAAATCCAATCACGTGGGTGCTGATGGGTTCACATTACATTACAAGAGCCGGGGGGGGGGGGAGTGTAGTTCCGAGGCGAAATGTTAGGTGAATGGGAAGGAGCGAAAAAGGCTCTTGTTTTCCACTAGTCTCCAGTCAATCATGAAGCAGCAGGGACATCCGTGTTTTCCCTTAATCAAGAGGATGCAAGCCCCCGGAGATTGGCGCGGAAACAATCAAACTTGTGGAGGGGCATTCAGCCTCATCCCCTACGGGGAAATTTTTATAAGTGTTCACTTCAGATCAACATCCAAGTTTACTGGATGTTACTGGGAGCCTTTGTCAGACATATCAAATGCAACTAGCACCACTCCGCATCTCCCAAATGCACGTTGCTTCCTCCATTGAGTCAAAGGAGGTCAGAAGCTTATTGAGAGCATGCACTGCGAAATTTCTGGTCAGGAGTGAGGATGGGTGTCGACAGTTTGTCAGGTCCTTCACACTCTAAGTTTTAATGCTTTCTTCAAGGGCATATATGGGTTCTGGAGATGTGGATGGTGCGTAAATCTGATATCCACTTCTTTGAGGTGGAGTCTGATTGGTGGCATTGCAAGTGGATGCTTTGTTTGCGTAGCGAGAGGTCCTGCACGGCGCGAGCCCCGCCGAGCGGCTCTACCAGCGCAAGATGCGGTCCATGCTCATCCGGAGGTGTTCCTGTTTGAGGGGGGGTCTGTTTGGTCGATAGGGCCAACGCCCTGTTTAAGCTTGAAACCACCTATTGTTCAAACCTCCTTCGGGTTCCCCTCAAGGGCCTGCTTGGATGTTTGAACAGAATGCCCAACTCTGGTGAGAATCCAGTTGATGTGTGAATCGAGTGGATGTTGATAGGGAGAGGTGTTTGCGGCTTGTCCGACGTCTGCAATTTGGATGTGGTTAAAACAGTCAAAAGCGGGTCCTCTCTTTTGAGAAACCCGGATGGAGATGTGTCTTGCGCCTTGAGGGTCGTTTTGAAGGAGAGCAAGGGAAACCGCAGATGTCGGGTGTTCGCAGGAAGGGCATCGACCCCCTGGAGCGGGAAGCACATCCCCGCATCGGCACCGTGGATGGCTTCCAGGCGGGTGGGTCCGTCTCAGAATGGGGAGTTCCTTTTGGATGGCTAGGAAACCAAAAGGAATTCAACCAGTTTTGCGGTTCCTTTTGTTGAGTTGTTTGGAGGGATCCCAGTTTTCAATCTATCCCCCCTCCCCCAATTGGTGATTTGGGTTGGGTTTGGAAGCAACTGGAAAACCTGCTAACCCCCAGATTCCCCAAATTGTGGTTTGGAGGTTGCAACTCTTATTGTTGAGCGTAAATGGAAGCCAGAAGGAAAGAAACAAACATTGGAGTGCAAACCCTCTTTTTGAGCATGCTGTACCCGTTTGGACTGTTTCTGGGTTATCAAGCTGGGTCGATTAAAGTAGCGGAATTGTTTGAAGGTGTTCTCAAAATTGGCTCTGGGGTCACTACTGCGGACAAACTCACCCCGCGCCAGGCACCAGGAAAAAAGATCCGCGTGTTTGTCCCATGTCAAAGGGTTTCGGTTTCATCCCAACTGACAGTTTCTGGGGACCGAACTTGGTGCTTTGAAGCGGTTGCATTTTTGAGTTCTTCTCAAACTTGCTTCTTCGGGATCCTTTAAGCCATTCAGAGGTGTGTCCCTTTGACCTCACAAGGTGACATCGGAGACCCTGGGAGAGAGGTCGTAGACTAAAATCGGGACCCACAAAATGTTTGTTGGGAAGAGCAAAAAGAGGCGGTTGCTGTGGTTGTTTTAAACAATTGTGGGTGTGTCGCATGTTTAAGAAGCTTGTGCTGAGTGCGAGAAAACACAGAGAGACGATCGTGTCTAAGTTTCTCCCCAGGACCAAGTCTCTCCCCAGGACCCATATTTAACACCCAGGAAGGGACCACGCTGTTCCAAAAGGATGTTTGACTCTTCCTGTATGTTTGTTGGGGTCCTTGATTCATGTTCAAAGAAGTAGCTTTTCTGCAATTTCGTGGAAGCTAAGTTGCCAAGAGGTTTAAAACTACTTTCTTGATCAAGTCTCCCGTCTACCGCTTTTGGAGCGAGCCCAGTGGCGGGTCGCACCTCCCCAATTTACAATTAAAAGTGGGGGGGGGGGGGGCGCAGACTCTAGTCTGTCCCTGTTATTTTGGGGACGAGGTACGTAAGAGATCATTTGATGTGTTCGCTTGCTTGGCTCTGCTTTGCGCGTGTCAAAACTAGTCGGACACCATGGGATCCCTCTTCATTTCCTTTCGGAATGCAAAAGTGGCGACCCTGTGACACTGAAACGGGCCCGGAAAGGAGGAGCTACCTGTATTTGACAACCGAATAGGTGCACACACCAGATTTATCGGGGACAAATCTGGTGGCACGTTTCTTGAAAGAGTTCAAGTCAGCCCTGACTGACTTGGCCAATTTCAGCACCCCCTGACTTCTGGGAGTGAAAACGGTCCTTTCTGCACTATGGTTCGGAATCATGGCAAGGGGACAAAGTCGGCTTTGCCAGTACTCCACATGCATGTTGCCACCAAAAGCCCCCCGCTGCTCGGCGTCATCCTAATCCAGAGAGGGTCACCACGTGATTATTTCCATGAATCCATAGTGACTAGCTACAAGATCCTACATTCTCCTCAAGAACGCCTTGCGAGGGCAACGAGAATGACTTCATCATTTTCAGCGCCGCTGGCTCCCCAGTTGCCCTGCGCCACAAGCCCGGCTCCTTTGTGGTTTCTCAGAATGCCCCCCGCCCCCCAAAAAACACAAAATAGGGAAAAGAAACACAGGACAAATGGTTCTTTGTTTTGGCTTGCCTTTCACCAAACGAAACGGATTCCGCCATTCTGAGAAACCTAATAATTGGTCTTATGCGCGCCAATTCGGGAATGAACCAACTGAGAAACCGCGGGCTCGAGTGGGTGCATGCCCGAAAAGCCAAGCTTCTGCAGCAGAAAAAAACGGCTCTTCCTCCGAGGTCGACCTTTCTGCCTCCCGGATGTTGTCCACGTTTCGTCATGGTCTCCACGTCAGGTATCAGCTTAATTACCTTCAGCTCCTTCATATTTTAGGCGTGCATTTGGCTTCCTTTCAGATTCATCCCCAAAAGAGTCCCCATGTGTGACACTTTCCCGATTGCCAGTTGCTTCTCACTCCACGGTTCCTATTTCCCGAAACGGTTGCATGCTCGCACTAAATCATTGAGCATGGATACGTCAAGTTCGAATGTCCTACAAGTGCCATTCCGATCACTTCCCAGCGATTCCGACAGACTATTCGTCACAGGCTTCTGGGATATCAAACGCAGGGTCACCAGGCCCTTTCAACACGAAGTGCGTGTGATTCCTAGCTTGGAGACCTTCACATGACAAGTTTGGCTTTGTTTGCTTGGTCAACCACAAGAACCCATGCCACGTGCAAATCCATTATTCCAGATGCAAGTTGGAGAGGTTTCGCCAATTGTTGCAGGACAGCGTCCCTATTTGGGCAAATTACCGTGAGCTCACCCGGAGGAATACAGGATTTCTGGCGGCTAACACGTGTGTGAAAAGGAACAACTCCTAGCGAAAGTACATTCGTTGCGTGCCATCGCAAGGGAAGGGCGTGTGAAGTGTATCGCACCGAATACCGCTTGCCAGTTTGAAAATGTGTTTATTCTCACTTCGTCTCACCTGCCCACCTGCGTCTCGCCATGTCGGCATTCAACTGACTTGCCAACTTGGTGAGCACTTCCTCACCGGGCGATCAGGCGCATTTTGAGCTTCCAATCGAACCAGGTCCGACGCTGCCGGGCACGCGTACCGAACGCCACTCGGTGTGAACGTTGTACATCCTGCCCCTTGCGCTTCTCCGAGGGGACCCAGTGGCGCAACCGCTGGCGCCTGCTATCCGTGGCGCAACTTCGAAGAGCCAAGCCCAGCGCGATTAATCTGGCGCCGTGCACCACCATGCGGACCTCATGGAGATGCCTGACCACTCCTTAAGGGGGGGACAATCAATAGTGGGAGCTGTCAGGGTAAGCGGCTAGGTCGCTCCTGCTGCGTTAACGCTCTGTGTTACAGAGTTGAACAAGTACTCCGTGGTTCTACGTGTTGTTTGAAATGGTGATGCGTGCATGTGTGAGCATAGACAAAGAAACATATTATGTATGCATGCAGATGCTATCAACGTGGGTGAATACACAACATATATATAAGTTCATACATATATATATATATATATGGTACCCCCCCCCCCCCCCCAAAGATCGACCATTTTCTGTGTTTTATCTCTGGTGACACATCCCAGAATCTGCAAGGTCTCGGGCTTCTGGCTTCCCAACTTCATCTTGCATCTGCCTTTTGGCTGCACAGGATGAACATGTTGAAAAAACCCAAAGAAATCAAAAAAATCAAAACAATCAGGGTCCTGGGAGAGAATGCCCAGGTCAGAATCTCGGAAAGTGAATAAACCTCGAAGAAATCAAAAAAATCAACAAAAATCAAAAAAACATCCTGGAACAGAATGCCCAGACCCAGTGACTATCTCTCTCAAGGCCTTGTTTTTTTGTTTTTTTGATTTTCTTGATTTTCTGGAGGTTTTTCACTTTTCCAGGTCAGAATCTCGGAAAGTGAATAAACCTCGAAGAAATCAAAAAAAAATCAAAAAATCAAGGTCCTGGAACAGAATGCTTAGACCCAGTGACTATCTCTCTCGAGGCCTTGATTTTTTGATTTTTTGATTTTCTCGAGGTTTTGATTCTGACCTGGGCATTCTCTCCCAGGACCCTATTTTTTGATTTGTTTGATTTCTTCGAGGTTTTTGCAGCTTCCTGGGTTTCTTGCCCTTTGCCCCTGAGCATGTTCCTTGCAGTGTTGGAGCTTTGGCGTGCAGAGCTGCAGTTTTGCAGCCCTGCCAAGTCTGTATTGCAACCAAGGCCTGCAGTGTTGGAACTCTTGTTGGAAATGCCTTGCTTGCCTGTAGTTTGGCAGCCTTGCCAGGGCAGCAGGGAAGCCTGCAGTGTTGAAACTTTGGCAGGTGAGGCGCTCAAGTCTTGCAGTGGCCTTAGTGTTCAACTCTTGCCAAGTGGGTTGCAGTTTTGAGCTGGAACCAGTTTGGCGGTGGTGGAAGTCTTGTAGCAGGTGGCAAGAACCCTTGCCAGGGTATTGAAACTTGGCAGGTTGGCAGGTTGCAGTTTTTTGCAGCCTTGCCCTGCAGATTGGCAGCCTTGCTATTGTGGAATGTTGCGCTGGGCCAGCAACCAAGTTTCAAGCCTTCCTTGCAATGTGGGAGCTTTGGCAGACAGAGCTCCCAAGTTTGTTTTGCAAACAGGCCTGTGTTGGAACTTCTGTTTGAACTCGCTTGTCTGTAGTTCAGTGTTGGTGCAGTTGGTTGCAGATTGGATTGGCAATTTTGCAACCTCCAGGTCTGTAGTTTGGCAGCCTTGCTTGGGAAGTCTTGCAGTGTTGAGTTAGCAAGAGGTTGTAGTTTGCAATCTTGCTCTGCAGTTTAGCAGACTGCTTGGCAGGCTTGAAAAGCCTTGCAGTTGGGTGTGCCTGCAGCGTTGGGGCCTTGCAGTTTGGATTTTGCAGCCTTATGTGTAGTTTGGCAGACCTTGCAGCAAGTGGGAAGCCTGCAGTGTTGAAACTTTGGCAGGTTGGCAAGGTTGGCAAGGGCCTTTTGCAACCCTGCAGTGTTGGATTTTGCAACCTTGCCAGGGCCCTGCAGTTTAGCAGACTTGCTTGGAAAGTCTTGCAGTGTTGGAGCTGGCCCTGCAGTGTTGGAACCTTGCAGGTTTGCAATTTTGCAACCTTGCCAGGTCTGTAGTTTGGCACCTTTGCTTGGGCAGTGCTTTGGCAGGTTGCTTGGGGTTGCAGTTTTGCAAAGCCTTGCAGTGTTGGAGCTGAAGCCCTGCCAAGTCTGTTTTGCAAGGCCTGCAGTGCCTGCAATTTAGCAGACTTGCTTTGCCAGGTCTGTAGTTTGGCAGCTTTGCTTGGGCAGTGTCTTGGAAACTCTTGAAGTGTTGAAACTTCAGGTTGCCAGGGGCTGCAGTTTTGCAAAGCCTTCCAGTGTTGCAGCCCTGGCAGGTGCGCAATTTTGCAACCGTCCTCAACAACACTGCACTTGAATGTCGACCCCAGCATATGCACATCTGTTTCTTGCACCGCATCTTTCTCAAAACACAGAAAATGGTCGATCTTTGGGGGGGGGGTTAGCATTTATATATATATATATACATACGTACAGTAGAAGCATGGGGTTCAGAGACCTTCTTGCTCACGTTTCCAAGCCGACATTGAGCCCAGGACTTCAGCATAGCTGGTGCCCCTAAGGGGACCGAAGCTTCGGTTTCAGCTTGCTGTGTGGTTTGTGAAGCGAACCGCAGGCTGGGGTTCAAGTGTTGCCCGCTCATGTTTCAAGCGAACCAAGTGGTGGGTTTAGGTTGCTGTTCACGTTTGACCTTTAAAGGGGACCAGGGGTTGGGTTTCAACATAATTTGCAACCCTGGCTTGCAGTTGCGCAGGTGAGAAGCAGTCCACAGGGCACTTGCGGCTTCCTGGCGGATCGGCACAGGCTTTGCGTGCTACTCACGCGCGCCCGTCGGGCAACTCAGGCGACTGGTACACGCATTCAGAGAAATCGACCGATTCGTTGTGATTTTTTGGACATGGCTGAGCAAGCTTAGTCAGATGCCCAGCTGAGGCCAATTTGTCAACTATCATGGGACCTTATAAACCCGCGTTCTCAGAGCTTTTCAGCCACAGACTCCCAGAGTCGAGCGCAGGTGCTCCAGTGGTACATGACCATTCCCAGCAAGCTGGGGCAAACTTGTCATGTCGCAGCCTGCTGTCCACTCATGTTGCCTTGGTATGTTTCCCCCTGCTTCGTTTCGAAAAGGATTACCCAGCTCCCTTCTGCGTTTGAGGTCATGGCCTGGTCGTGGTGGGGGACAGCTCAACACTCCAGCGCGACCCGGCGCGGCCGTTTGAGACTGTGGGTCGGTGATTTTGAGGGGTTCTCAAGCTACTTGTGGGACGTTGTTGAAAAGCGCCCATCTTCAATATCAATTTGAGAGATCTGTACAAACGTTTATCGATTTTGACCCCTTGCCAGGAGTGGGCGGCCTGGCTCCAGGCAGAAAAGCAAGTGGTGCCTTGGACAAGAAATCTGAGGGGAAGCACCTGTCAAAAATATGTTTGCCGTATTTTGTGGTGTGATCTTCGCAAGGGTTCTTGCATGACTTGTTGCAACTCTTTTTTTGCATGCAAGTCGCTTCGAGGCGCTGGCAGAGAATTCCGCAACATTTCTTCCGCACAGCCCCCAACAGACTTCCAAAATGCAATCGTTGGGTGCTTGCAGAGACTTTAGTCCCAAGAGCTCCACCTTTCATTGGGTCTTGTGATCAAGTTAGGCTTAGGGAAGCTCATTCGGCACAATTCTCTTTCTAGTAAGGGGGATTCTAAAACTGAGGGGAAATCGTATGCTTGCATGCGAAACGAATTTGGAAAACCAATGGTACCATTTTGGGGTAGGTGAATTCACCACCCATTTTGGAACCTAATAGTGGGGATTGGGATATTCACTGGGGGTACGATTTGGCTTTTGACCCATGGTCATCTCTTTGTTCTCATTTGAGGTTACGGTGGACGCGGCCGTTCTGCAAGGCAGGAACTAAAGGGCTCGACTGGAAGTGAAGTCACGAACTTGATGCGCGGTTAGGTGGGAGAGCTAATGTTTGATTGGTGTAAAAGAAGCAAGCCCATCATCAAAGAGGTCTGTCTCTATTGGGAAATACTCATGGAATAAGAGTAGATGTTGAGAAGACCACAAGGTGACTGTTGCATTGTTAGCCCGCATGAGCGCCGAGCTTCCCAAGATAGGTGCATTTCCATGGCTGCAGGCCACTCGATTGATTTAAAAATGTATCAATGAATAATTTCAAGAGCATAGTTCATGTCTACTTTCCGTTTCAAAGCGGCACGATCACATTTTGATGACCGGACATACATATGCAATGAGATATTTGGTCTGAATATTAGGATGTATAGTTTTCTATATGTAATATTGCGTATGTTTAATTGTTTTATTAATAAAGTTGGGAGTTACAAATATTGAAATATGAATAAAGATCCGTATAAGGTTGTATTTTTGGTAGTAAAAGGATAAATAGTTGTGGGAGATTAACGGTTTGTTTTTTGAAGAATTATGATTATTTATCTTGTTGGAATGTAAGTTGTAGATGGTGTAATATTGTTATACTATTAACATAATTTGGATGAAATTGATTAGTTTTTTATTGATTGATTGTATTTAGGGTAAGAAAATGATTATAGATATTTGTGTGTGATGTTATTTTGTTTTTTGTGTTTAGTATTATTTATGATTTAGTGGTTTAATTGATTTGTGTATTAATGATAATTTTATTAGGTGTATTAATGGTTTATATTTTATATAATTGTTTTATGGATAATTATTTTATTTTGGAATTGATTATATAATATATTAGAATATATTTTATTATATTATATATATATATATTATATAGATATACACAAATTTTGTATATTGTAAATTTAGATATATATATATATATATATATATTAGTATTTAATAATTGATTAAATGTTAATATTATATTATATATAGAAATATATATATTATATAGTTGAATATATATATATATATATTTATATATATATATATATATTATATTCTATTATAATATAATTTGTATTATTAAATTATTTACTCTATAAAATGAAACCGTGAAATTTGCTCGTCGTACTTGTGCGCGTTTTCCCGGACCGCTTTTCCGAAAAATCTAGGATATTTTGGAAAATTGGTCCGGATTGCCCCTGGAAGATGTAATCGCTTTATAATTCTTTGCGGATCGCTCGCCCAAATCTGTCCGGGCTACCCCGGGCATATGTGCAGAAGACATAATGGCTTCATCTTTTATGGGGACCAATTTCCCGAAATATTCTAGATATTTCGGGAAAACGGTCCGGGAATCGCAGCCATTTACCATTTTCTTAAAACCCGAAACATTCGAAATATTTCGGGAAATGCTATCGTCGAAATATCCGGAATATTTTGGAAAAATAGTCTGGAGCGCGACTATCGAAATATCCGGGATATTTCGGAAAAATGGTCCGGGCTTTGAACGAAGTCGTTGTGTCTCTCCATCCGTAGCCCTTGAACGAAGCCGTTGTGTCTTCCAGATAAAGAGTCGGGGCATATAGCTGCCTGTTCGTAGCAATTTTGGCTGAAATCTTGGTCCATCTTCCGAGAGTTTGGCGATGCAAGAAGCTGTGAGCCGCGGCCGATTGTTGTGACCAGTGGTGTTTTTCCCCATGCTTTGGGCGAAATTAGTTCGGCTTTGCTTGCACCCAGGATGTTTTCTGGTCGATCGCGTTTTCGCTTGCGCTTGTAACAACTGCGTGTGTGGATGGATCTTTTGAGGCCAACAGCCCGCGGATCCGTTCTCACCTTGCTCAGGCGACCGCCTTTCACTGACTCTTTGGCGTGACCTTATCGCGACCAGCCCGGCCCTCAGTGCGTCTCGCGACCTGTGTTTGGAGAACGGCAGCATGCTTTTCGCATGCGACGAGAAAACATTTTTTGATATGTATGAGATGATAAAATATGTTGGTGCCTGAGTTGTAAAACATGGCTTGCCGGCGCGGTCTCTGTAAAATCTGGACCTTGGCCCCTGAGAGCTTGGCCCTTTTTTGGCACCCGCCTCAACGTACCCCTAATTGCTGGTTTGGACTGGTGGTTTGGGGGTTTGAACCCCTGGATCATGTTGAAGTTAAATGGGAAACCACCCCCTAACCTCCAAAACACCGATCCAAACTACCAATCCAAACCGGGCCGGTAGCGTGCCCAGTCCTGGCCGCGGGAACCGAGACAAGCGCAAACCGTTTCCCACTGGCTCGCTCCACTGGGCGAGGGTGCCAGGGGACAAGCGGCCAGCGGCCGCGTGCAACTGGGGCACGCGCAGCCGAGAGCTCGCACGCGCGTTCTTGCAGCCCGTCTGCATCACGGCTCCCGGGCTCGGAGTCGGACGCGTGCGTCTGTGTGTCTGTGTGTCTGTGTGTCTGTGTGTCTGTGTGTCTGTGTGTCTGTGTGTCTGTGTGTCTGTGTGTCTGTGTGTCTGTGTGTCTGTGCACGCGCAGCCGAGAGCTCGCACGCGCGTTATTGCAGCCCGTCTGCGTTATAGCTCCCGGGCTCGGAGTCGGACGCGTGCACGTGCGCAGGTGAAGCCTGTTGCATGTTGACATCAGAATCCGGCGCGCTGCGCGCCGGAGGTGTGTCTCTTTGTCTCTGTCTCTTTGTTGGTGTCTTTCTCTGTCTCTCTTTGTCTGTTGGTCTCTCTGTCTCTGGTATTTGTTTCTTTGTCTGTCTGTCTGTCTGGCTGTCTGTTTGTGTCTGTCTGTCTATAGTCTGCCTGTCTGTGTCTGTTTGCGTCTGTGTCTGTCTGTGTCTGTGTCTGTCTGTGTCTGTGTCTGTCTGTGTCTCTGTGTCTTTGTGTTTTTGTGTTTCTGTGTCTTTGTGTTTTTGTGTTTTTGTGTCTTTGTGTTTCTGTGTCTGTCTGATTGCGCCTGTCTGTTTGTGTTTGTGTGTTTGTGTGTTTGTGTGTTTGTGTGTTTGTGTGTTTGTGTGTTTGTGTGTTTGTGTGTTTGTGTGTTTGTGTGTTTGTGTGTTTGTGTGTTTGTGTGTGTTTGTGTTTGTGTTTTTGTGTCTGTGTTTGTCTTTGTTTTTGTCTTTGTTTTTGTCTTTGTTTGTGTCTTTGTTTTTGTTTGTTTGTTTTGTTTTGTTTATTTTGTTGTTTGAAATTGATATTGTATAGGTTAAGTTTTATAAATTAATTTATATTGTATAGGTTAATTATAATGAATTTATACTATTTAGGGCATGTTTTTTTGGTATTTAAAGAATTAGGATAATATTTATGGGTATTGTATTTAGGTATATATATGATATTTAAGAATAAGATTTTCTATTTTATATTTAAATTATATAGGTTGGATTATTTTAAAATTGAATAATTTAGAGATAGAAATTATTGATATGTATTATTGGGGTATGAAGCCCGAAAATCTTTTGCCTGTTTTGATTCGATTTTTGGATATAGATTTGATTTGAGATTTATGAAGAAATAAAATATGTTTTATTGGAGCGGAGTGCATTGTTTTAAAATTGAAATTGAGCTTTTTTGTTTCGAGGTTTTTTGGTTTAGTTTTAAAAAAGGATGTTATAAATGGGTATTTAAGTGATAAGATTTAGATTAATGATGAGATAAATGATTCGAATATATGATTTTTTAGGTTGACTAAAATCATATTTGCATGATTTGTTATGGAACGAATATATTTATGAAACACGTTTTTTGGGAGGTTAGAAAAATCGATTATTTAGTTGTTTTGTTATTATTTGGATTGAAATATTGTGCTTGTTTTGCGAGAATTTGGCGATATTTATTGTGATTAATGATATTTTTAAATTAATTAAACAAAATTGGTTCGGCTTTATTTATATCTAGGATATATTTTGGTCGATGGTATAGGCTAATGGTCTATGGATTTATATTCCTTTTGTTTAGACGATCGTCCTTTATTGACTAAATGTTTACACGCTGGTATCGGGCACTTGAGAGACATTGTTGTTCTCTATATCGCAATACTTTAGGAAACATATTGAGGTGCTATTGAGAAGTTCTATTTATAATTCGTCTTTAGATATTTGGGTCTCCAGAATTTGGTTTCCAATTCAATATAATATATAATCTTTCGAAATATTATACTTGGGTAGGGTCCAAGGCAAAGGCTCAAAATCACAATTATTTATTTTCTCGAAATATTCCGAAGCCGCGTTTTGTCAAGCATTTGCTCGGTCTGCCTATTTCTGTCTCTTTGAGTATAATATTTTCTATTTATCTATAATTGTTAAATTGGAATATTTTTTATTTTATGCTCTGATTCTGTTATTCTTTTGCTATGGGTTTCATTTCGCACGCTGCTGGAAAGCAGCGGGCCCCCCATTAATATATATATATATATAATTATATTTAAATTATATATATAAATATATATTATTTTAATAATAGACTTAATCTAAATATGTATTTTCTTGTGAATCGGTATGGCTCAAGATTGTATTCCTCGTACATTGGTAAGTTGTTATAGTGGTATTTTGGCCGAATTAAAGTGTTTGCGGTAAGTGGTTATGCTTGTTTTAATCTTTTCTCCGTTGCGTAGGTTTTCGCTTTTTTACGCGACTCGGAAGGCTAGATTATAGGCCGATTAATATTTTCCCGAACGCTTTGAGCGATACGACTTTTAGGTTTTCGGAAATTTGGGAACCCGGGTGATGGGTGTTTCCGTATTTTTGCCCCTTTTTGTATCTTTTAGTCCGTTTCCGCGTCCGTATCTATTTATTTCGTACTCTCTCCTCTCTGTCTGCTTGTGTCTCTCGGTTTTGTATTTGTTTGTTTTTGTTTGTCTCTGTTTATCTCTATGTCGGTCGTTCGTCTCTATTTCTTTGTGTCTTTTTGTGTTTCTCTGTCTATTTTCGTGTGTCTATGTTTGTGTATTTGCTAATGTTTATCTATTTCTGTTTTTGTTTTTATCTTTTTGTCTGTTTGCGCTTGTTTCTGCGGGTCGATTCACAAAAATGGCGCACTTCCGCGTTGCCGTATGCTATCTCCCTCTTTTAAGCTCCGCTTGTTTCTTTTGGCCTCGTTT